TCTGAGGGCATCAATCCCCAGATATAACAGATGGTGGTTCATATTTTGGAATTTACACTTCACAACAACTCATTTATTATTCCTGAAACCTTTATAAATAGAACGAGCCTAAGTTCCTACGACCAATATAATTGACTTTTGAATTAATTGACTTGAAGGCCTTGACTTTTGACTTTGATACTGTGAACCCTGTCTCAAAGGGGGGAAGCTTGCTTCTGCGAGTCCGCCGGTCTAGCCCGATCCTTTCCTCTACGTGGACGCACTGGGCTTTGATGATTCAGTAGCTGCGCGATGGCCGGGGGCGCCGAGATAACTCGGCATTCCATTGGCCAAGAGTCAGTCTGCCGCCGAGGGAGCCCAAGCCCCCTGCTGTACGCTCCACGCGCTTAAAAACCCTGCGGAGCAGGAGGCGGAGATAGGAGTATGACATCATGAACGTGGAGTTCATGACAGGGGGGTCGTAGAAAATTTTCGAAAAGTAGCAACGATAGGACCGACCCTGCCCAGAACTCCCTAAAACTCCAAAACTCCACCCACTTTTCAGAAATAGCCGTCGAGCGGGGGGGGGGGGTATATACAACCAGTGAAACGGCAACTTTTTTCGCACGCACCTATGCCCTGCGCCCCTGATGACCAAACGTAACCAGCAGAACTGCGCAATGCGACCCCTCTCCCCTCCCAGAACACAAATGCGACCCCCCGTTCGAACAGTTCGAACGGACGGTTGACCCTGGCTCCGAGTGGTCCCCCGCAATCCCAAATAGAGGGTGCGTAATCTCCGTGTTTCGTGTGCGTAAGAGAAAAATGACGCTCACTTTCTTCCACAATCTCCGGTTTGTCGTCGTTTTTAGCGTCTTTCTGCATCACTCGAACTACAGCTCGAACGTCTACCTGAAAGACTGTGAGTTTCTCTTTGAGCTGTTCATTTTCCTGCACTGCGAACAAATGTAGGCCACTGCGAGCAGGTTCTTTTGGAACAGTTAGAGGAATAGAGAAACCATTATACTCCGAAACATGGCCATCTGAGGTCCATACAAAAGTAGAGATAGTTTTGTTCGGTCAACGTTTGTGGTCCCATGGGTGCGGTGTGCTAGGGCAGAGAGCGACTTTTCCGCTTTTCGCAGCGCGAAACATTTCGCTGCGAAAACCCAGGTCCACTCTGATCAGTGGTGGACCTGGGGTTTCCGCAGCGAAAAAAGTTTCGCGCTGCGAAAGCGGAAAAGTCGCTTTCTGTCCTAGCGAACCACACCGCTCTCGCATTCTGTACCACTCTCTCTTTCCAAGTCCCATGGAAGCTCAAGGAGTATTTTTGCGCAGGCATGCAGTTGACGTGCTGATGGAATTATGGGTACTGAAGTTGAGGTCATCAATTTTAGCTCAAGTCTATCTTGAAACAATTTCAATTTCAATTCCCAGTCGTTTCTCTGGGAATCCAATTTACGAAAGGCTGGTCAACTTTTGCAACATACAATCTACAAAACCGCAGCAATAAAAACTAGTGATGTTATGTGAAAAGTACTATAATTTTGAAACTGCCTAAAGATTATTTCACGACTAGGAAAATCTGTAGCAATGTCATTTAAGTCAAGTTATGGGAAAGCATAAACCGTTTCACAAGCACAAAATGGCATCTCCCGCAGCACAAAGCTGAAAGACCAAAAAACAACAAGGATCAATGTTGCTCATAGTCATCCCATTGCATGAATTCGCCTTCGTAGTGGCACTATGGGCGTTTGAAATAATTAAAATCTAACCGAATTTTCAACTTCAATAGCTTCAGATGTTGATTCTACCTTTCTCTTTGTTAGTCCTGTCTTATCCAAGCTCTTACCTCTCTTTGTCGCAGGGTTTCTATCACATACGGCGCTTTCTGTTCCTCCCGTCGGCAAATTTATAAGTGATCAAATATCAAACCTACATAAACAAATACTATACCTGGTTTACCGTTCAATACCCGTCTGCTTTCTCTCTTCTCACTCTGCTGGCCTTTGCGTCTAAGCTTCAACTGTGAACCCGATTTCACCAAAATTTTTGTCTATCGTGGACCTACCCCTCCCCCCCAAAATATGATTCTACTGAATTGCGGTTCTTCCTCCTATCTCACTGCAAGCGCTATCAGACAGGGCAGGAATATGAATAACATGATTTTTTTATTTTTTTTCTTTTGTTTTTTTTTTCGTTTGCATTATCTAACATTGGGCAGAAGATAGTACTACATCGAAGATACCATTAACGTATGTGAATCAAATCCAGCTGATCGCCTCATACCAACCAAGTCCTCGTTCCCCATTAAACAGCTCCTCGATGAATTGGTATATGTAACCCTAATCCTCTGCAGAATGATCAGAACATATGGTTTCCTCTCATTAGGTAGAATTCATTCCGGCTGCAATCACCCGCAAGTCATTTAGATAACTTGCATTCAAAATTCCATTACAATTCTAGCTAAAAGGCAGCGCGCCGTTGTCCCAAACACCCTCAGTGCTTTGTTCCATTCACATTTGAACAAAAATACATTAGCGTTCGCACTTCATTATAAAAAAGCATTCCAAACGCCGCTAAAAGAACGATGAGATTCGTCTGAGACCGGCTTAATGAACTCCTGAGTTGAACTTCTCTGCAAATCAAGCTTTTGATCTTTCAATGCTGTTAACCTCTTAAATTATTCAGTTTGTATACGAGAACTAGGAGCTTCACCTGCTGACCTGGACCGTCAACAAATAGGAGCGTCAACTGCCATCATAATCAGACTGGCGATCATCTTGTCTCGTCGCAGATCGTCATCGATCCATTAAACTCAAAAACTATATAAACACCTCACATTCTATTAGTACATGCTCTGGTTTCATTTATCTAGGTACACCTGTTTTCAGTCACTGGCAACTCGAAGTTCATTTCTTATCATTGATTCATCGTCGGCGTCTATTCACATTGTATAGTCCAGCAGTAATTTCAAGAAAACTTTAGCCAACCACTTTGACCTTCTCGGCTCTGGGGTACCCAATTATAGCATCTAGTATGTAGTATGTATGCTATTATAGTGTCCCAGGGCAAATAGCGGTCGAGGAAATACATGAGCATGGCTTTGTACTGTGCGAAAATAGTACCGAGAGTGAATGTACGCGCAGAAGAGCGTGATTGACCAGGCGAAAATCCTCGACGAGTTGTCGACGAATTCTCGGCTGACTTTCACCCTGTGGTGTTCTCTACCAATGGCTACTTGCCCCTTCAATGAGTGTAATTCCACGCAATAAAGATTAAGATAGGTGAGGCAGAAGAGAATGAATAGGAGCTCTAGTATTCTTAGCAACCGAACTGATTAAACCGAGAACCGGACTGCGTTACGGTAGGTGGCCTTCGGATTACGTGATGAGTTCTTTGGTCTCGAACTTCAGTAGGGTTGCTAAGACATTTGGTCGGGTAGTCATAAATTGTTTCGACCCTTTCAGGCTCTGAAGAAGGCGATCCTCGCCGAAACGTTAGCCCAATAAAGGTCTTTTATCAACCTCGTGAAGAGGTTTGTCCAGAGCCTACATGGTGATTGAACTGAGTTTCCTTGGCGGAGGCTTGTAAATTTTATGGTTCTTATCTCAATTAAGATGTTTTGTCTGGGCAGAGGTATATGCATTTGAAGTTCAGGGTCACAAGACAAGAGATTTTTTCAAAAGACTTAACACATCCCTGGTACCAAATTACCGTATTCACTGCCTGTAAATGAAGGGAAGAGATGACGGGAGCAGTTCTACATGGCTCACTGTCTCCCAAACTTGTGCGTCCAGCAGGTGTTTCATCTCTGATCAGTGATCACGTACTGTAAAATGCTCACCCTTCCCGTTGTGCCATGAATTTTCAGACTCCACTGAAAAGAAACGTGGTCGTGCACCGTAGCGAACTTTGGTGAGATGATCAGAATCACAGCGTCGTCATCCGAGACAGCCCGCATCGAGATCTCAAAACTACAGGTTGTATGGAGCAATTAGAAAAATAGTGAAATGAAAAATTGAACAGCATTGAAAGTTCTCTCTTGCGAATGCGCCCTGCGCTCAACTTGAACTGAGGTAATTATTGAATGGAAATCTGCAACGCCAATTTCCGCCAAATTGCAGTACTTTGAAAAATAATTTTTTTCCGGAAAAAGCTCGAATATTGTTAAGCTAGAATTCGCGTATCAAACCTTTCGCTCTCAGCAGCTGTATAACATCTTTCATTTATTCGCCCCGACAAAAAACCCCCACTCCGAATTCACTAAGGTAAAGCTTTTAGAGAAATGAGAAAATCGCGATAACGATCGAACCAGAGAAATGAGGAAAAAGGGAAAACTGCAAAGGAACCAACAAGATGGTCCTCAAAATGAAGTACAGGAAGAAAAAAACAAAGAATTTTTCCTGCATACGGTACCGCCAATAAAGCGATTTATCCCCTTTGTTCCTCCACCATATCGCATACTGACTAATTTCAAGCTGCTGAAAGCGATCTAACCTCTTTCTCGATTGCACTTGAGACCTAGTGAGGCAGTGCCTTTTATCGTTCCTAATTTGTTTTGTCCCCCAATATACTTCCAAGCATCATCTTTAGTTACTTGGCTTATGTTGGTTTTTATTATTTTTTTGTAACGATTGCAGTAGAATTGTAGTCTACTGCTGCACAATCCTTTACTCCGGTTTTGATGAACTTACGAAAATAGAAAAAAGGTGCTATCGTAGGATACGGGGTTTTCTCAACGTCCCCAAGGAGTGAGCGTTAGGAGTGATCACCAACATTGGGAGAAACGACAAATTTGCTCCACACATCCTGGATCTCTCCTCTCCTTTCTGAGATTTCGCACCTGCATTTTGAGCATAAGCGATATTAACGCGTTCATGACTGCATTGCCCACCCGCAATGCCCCCCGTTACCTCGCGTAGCAACCGATACACTTCGAACGCACGGGCTCCAGTCACTATCGTTGTTAACTCTTGGCGAAAAATTTTTACGACCCCCCCCCAAGGTGGACTTGGTACGACCCCCTCTTTTCGACCCTCGACCCGACCACCATATTCCTCTCTATGGTATTTAATTCTGGTACCACTCAACCCACCAAACTCCGCCCACTTTTTCCTCCAAAAATGCCGTCGAGCGGGGGTATATACCCACCTATGAAACAGTAAAAAATTTTCCCAAAATTCCCTAATTTTCAACCAATTTACCCCACTTCCACCTATAATCCCACTGCTCCATTGTTCTAGCGAGGAATAATAAGCACCGCTGACAAACGGCGCCGAATTTCTACGTAACTCTACGTTCACGCGAACTTGCCAAGCGATACGCACCCCCTTCCCTAATAACCTCACCAGTACCTACCCCCCCCGTTGTTACTATGTAACAATCGTAGGTTGACCTCTGCTTCGCAAGTGCTCCGTTCGGTGGAGTTGGGACCTTTCGTGGCGAGGATTTACTTGAAGGATTAAATCAGTCGAATGAATGTTCTATAATATTAAACTTGGCAGTTAGCTAGGCATAAAACAGCTTGGAATGCTTCACAAACAAACAAAATATTGAAAAGAATGGAAGTTCAGGAGTGCAGCTCACCTTTGTATTCCACACGTAACAAAAGCCAATCCGTGAAGGCGAAGTCATCTCAGCCTCGTTATGAACAGCAGTTTGGGTGATCATGTGCACCGACTGGAAAAGTTATCAGAATAGAGTAGCGACAAAGAATTAATCGGAGCTTCCGCAAGATCAAAATTCAACCGAGTGTGTTTAAAAACGAACATGGTTGTTAAAAGCAAAACCTACGATCAATTTTGTGTGTCCATTTTGCTCCAAAATGGCCCATCAAAAAAAAACATCGAAAAAAAACAACAAGAGCTGTTTTCTATGTTGTGTGCAAATCTAGAGGCAGAAAGTAAGATAGAGAGACTTTTAACGAGGTAGGAGAAGACTCGGAGTCAAGAGAGCATAAAAGGGGAGGGAGACAACAGATTCTGCAACTGTCCGCGTGACTATTAAGTTGAGATGTCCACGGTTGCAAGTTCTAAATCATTATTACCCTTGCCACGCGTTTTAGCCGCGAAACTGGCACCATTCATGTAGTTTGGGGCCCGGCAGCCTCCCTCGCAGTAGAGTTTGTGCCAAAGAGCCTGGTCGGGGTTTGGTTGTTCAAAAGTGCTGAGCCTCGGTAATTTTGATCATAAACGGCATTGTATCTATTCATTCTAATGTTTGCCTGATTGGTTAACGGCTTTAATTTTCCACAGAATCCTGAAAAAAATTTTGGTTAGCTGAATCGATACTTTGGAATAGTGATAACAAAAATGGAGACTAGTGCTGCTGACTCAATCAAAGATACGCCACTTAAGGGAAGTGAAATGAAAAGGACTGGTGACTCAAATGCCATCCTTATCACCAGACGGATTGTGGGGTGACCATCATGGTGTTATCCCATCGGAAGGGCTCATGGTACGATTCCCGTGGTGATATATCTGTGCACCACTGCACCTTTGCGTTGCTTGCCAGATTTGCTCCCACACGTTGGCGAACAGGGGAACCTCTGTGAGAAACTTTTCCAGAGTGAAGAGATTTTGACCCGATTAGGAGAAAGTGGCGGTAACCGGTCATGTATGCAGATGGACGTCACAGGGCAAGAGGAGGAGTGAACACTTGTAGACATCCAAAAAACAACCCGGGGTCCCGTGAGAATCGTTAGAAAGACGAATTACTACTTTTGCGTGCCATGATTGTCTCCAAATCTCCTATCGGTACAAATAACGGGGTGCTGGACCGCTACTGCTGACACTTGCGAATTTGTGTTAAAAATCTTGGTATTCTCGAATTTTCTTCCTTCCGCTTTTGGCGCCAGAGCCGCAAGCGCACCCTAAAATGCAAAATCTACTAAAAGTGAAATAATAATAAATCTATGAGCCTTAGCGATCCAGATAGCGATTTTGGTGTTCATATTTGTGAGCAGCGTTTAAGATTTTACCAATTTACCTAGGGCTCGTATCTTCAGCCCTGAGGAATTCTCCCCCCCCCCCCTAGGTACAAATAAGCTATCTGGAACCCCGCTGCAATGCTCCATGACAGTTATGTATACGAAGTTTTTTTAAAAATTCATGCGAGTGCTTCTGTGTGATACTGAAGGAGCATACGTAGCACCTTCTCCAGTTTGTCAACCTCGAAGAAGTCTGGGAAGAATTCCGAAGCACGGCTCACGGATCAAATAATGAGAAGACACATAGAAAGTGAACAATCCCTTTGAAATGTCCAATCTTAGCTCTCAAAAGCATCAGATAGAACTCGCAGAGGGGTTGCCGTGTGCAGTTAGGAAGGAAAAGTTTCACGCCTTGGACTTGCATCAACAGCAGAGAGAAGAAAATGGAAATCCTCATCCATATCGAATCGTGATGGGATCCAATACAAGGAACGGATCACAGCCGTCGCATTGAGGCACTTTTCAAATCAAAAATAATTTAAAATAATCTGACCATTAGATTACTTTCCAAGAACAAATGATAGTGAATCATTTGACAAGAGAACAAACACTAAATAGAGACGGAATGCCTGCCACCAAAGCCCCACAGAAGGAGGCAGCTCAGTGATGTTTTCGCTGACTGAGAAGGCACAGGAAGAGATGAAAGGGTGGGCTATTAAGGGGGAAGAAAATAGAATAGCTTGCAGAAGCCTTGGTTTTTAGAGTTCTCATTACATGCACGGCCAACGGATACATCAGGCGAGGCACGCGACTGCGCTGGAAATTGATAATTTCAAAGTGCTTTTCATAATATGCGGTCACGCAATAGAAGCAAAATGTTTAGGAGCTGTTTTCGATGAAACACAACACTTTTAATTTGACAAGGAAGTGCGGAGGAGGGGAGGGGTGATAGGGTTTCCGTCCTGTTGAACAGGAACACATCTAACGATAAGTAAAAGTTGTGCGGCCGTGTTCCAAAATTTGAACGGGTTAGAACAGTCCATGACCGTCTTCTCTACTAATTACTTTTAGCTCGCTTATCGCAAATATGGGGACACTCGCGTGAATAGCCAGAAAAACTAAACTTCGCAAAAATGTCGAATTTTCGCGGAGGCTGAGTTGTCCTTCCCGCCTAAAGCATTGTCATTGTTTTCAACAGAAGGAATTTCGCACGCATTTTAGATGCAATCCATCCACAATGCCCCCGTACTTGCGATAGCGGCCGCCAACAATCTTTACAGGCCTTCGAGGAAGCAATTTCGCCGAAACGTCTAACTAATAATCTGTACCTTATGCGCTGGGCTAAAACAAACAAAGATGTATATTTTTACTATAAAAAAATGTGCCGAGATTAACCTGTGTTGTCCTCACAGTGCTTACGTGTTCACTCTGGGCACCCATTCAGCCCTTGGCCTTGGCTTTTAGAGGACTCATAACATATAAAAGCCCTCAGCCAAGCTTCAGCGGGGAGCAAGGTTTGAATTGGTTCAGGAGGCAATTCGTCGAGGAGTATCGCACGGCTCTCCTGCGCGCACATGCACTCTCGCACACGCGAGCCGGTTGGGTCTCTCTTGGTGACATTCACATCTAGACACACGCGACAGCGAGAATTCCTTGACCATTATTCAGCCATAACCAAGGGTCCTCCATAGCCTCCCATAACGATTTAGGGTCAGGTTTCCCGACACCACTTTTGATTTTCTAAACCTTAGGATTTTCTTTCTGTAATTTGAATAGTGTTCGAATGCTCGATTTTCTTACAGGAATTCGAGGAATACAATTTTGCGAAAAGTTAGACCGTTCTTTACAGGCTTCGAAGAAGGCAATTTTGCCGAAACGTTAGCTAAAAAAATCCTGTACCATTCTCGGAGGCTAAAACAACAAAGCTGAAGGAATTAAACGGGTCAGTAAAGGAATTGCTGAAGTTTGTTCAAAAAGGCAAGCTGTTTCGGAAGACACGTTTCGTATCCTGCGAATGTTAATTAGTAATCAATGTCGAACAATTGGAAAAGCGCTCGGACTCATCTTTTAGCTTTCAGAATGTGCCAACGCTCTTGTCTGATAGTAGCTATGTAGCTGATGAGATAGGTAGTAAAAGGTGTAAGTTCTGGGTTGGAACTTACGGCTGCTTTCAAAGGCTGAATACATCGCTCGGGGTAAGTCAGGCGTGCCTCGTCCGAACTCAGCATTACAAGTAGAATCGTATTTGGTTTTTGGAGACTTAAAAATGGAAGGGTCAGTTCCAAAGACTTCCAAAGGGTAGAAATTATATGACGATTTTATCAAAAACTTAAAGGTTTTCGGCGGAGCTTCGTCTTCATAAAATTACAAGGAAGTTTATGAACAATGAAGCTCAGAAACTCTCTGATCTTATTCAATTTTATGAGAGATGAAGTTGCTTGAGATTTTTTATTGTCTTTGTTTATTTACTTACTCTCTATCTCTTCAACCTCCCCATCCCGGAGACGGTGATTTGCTCCTCATCAATCCTGAAATTTCATTTCAAAAGCCAGAGTTGCCGGTGCTGATCAAACAAGAAAGTCCACAGATCATTTGTAATGAATGCTTTGATTTCTCAATAGTTTTGCCGAACTAGGAGCTAAAGATCATCCGTTCAGCTTGAGCCGCACCAGCAGCAGAACCCATTTTTATAAATTTGTGAGGTTTTACGAAGAATTTTTGTGGGGCATGTATATTACTCACTACCAGACCCACAAGTGATCGTCTTACAGTAACCAGATACTTTGCGTAAGAGTGTATGTCCAATGGGAAAAGTTTTCATTGCGGAAGTGGTTCAAAGCAAGGAGGCTGAAAAACACCATGGGCGGGAATATTCACATACTCGGGAGAAACCTGCGAAAACACCACCTCTTTGTGTGCAACATCAAACACAGCACTTTTTTCTTCGCCTCCCGGGAAACAGCTGGTGTTTCTTCGTGCTGAGTGTGAAAAGAAAACAAATAAAAAGAGAAAAATGGAAGCAAATAACAAGTAGCGTAAGTCAGCGCAAAATATGATTATTGATCGATCAGATGAAAACGCTCCTCGATATTGGGATGCGCCGTGTCATGCGAATTGTGTTCAAAATCGCCAAAGCATTTGTATGGTCATGTAGCCGGCACAATCATCTGTGAAGGCGCAGGTAATGCCCGACTGTGTTACTTGTTAATTGGGCCCTATCAGGTCGTTGAATCGAACGTGGTCAATTGGCCTTGTGTCGGCAACTTCACTGAAGTTATTCTGTAAGCAATTCCAAAATTAACGGATTCCATTAGCCACAAAATAAGTTGCATGCTTAAAATAAGGTGTTGCTGAGTGCTGAGGTCAAAGGAGCAACCAAGGCTGGAGAATCCTTCAGATTTATGTTTTTGTCCTTTCAAGCGTGCCTGGTACCACATCCGCTTGAACACAAAAGGATAGGGCATACACATATTTCATGAGATCTCTTGCCTACTCATGGATGTGTTAGACAGGAGTTTTGCGATTAAAGCAACTATAGCGCAGTGGCATGTATGCTGTGGGCAGAACAAACCTCTCCGTCAAACGCAGACCTAGTACTTCCTAGAGCATTCTTATCTTTCTTCATCATAGAGTCACACAAAGTAGCGCACGTGAAGAACTGCGGCCAAAATCACCTAGAGAAAGCCAAAAGGTGGAACGGAAGGCTCCTAACGAATGACATCTGCGTCCTTACGCATTCCAT